AGCAAGAGAAGGAGATGATTCCGGTCTGGCTTCTGTGGCTTTTTTGGAGAGAGAGATTCGAAGGGAGAGATATGGTATTTTGTTTTCCGAGATTCCGAGAGATAGAGCATTTGACGAATGGGACGATGAAGCAGACTATAGAAGGGTGGATGGAAATTTCTGTTTCTTGGCTTGATGGATAAGATGCTTGCACTATATTTACAGGGGCCTCTTTTGCCAAAGGGTATGATTAGTGAGTAGTTATTCTTGCCAGTTTAGTCGTAAAGTTAAAAGTTAAGTGTTAAGTGTTTTCCAGGGTATGGTTTCCTGGTTTATTTTTTTTTTTGTTTTTCTGACATTGTGAGACTTCTCACCCTCCCTCCTGCTGCTCTGAAGACTTTTCCAGCAAGCCCAAGCATGAAAGTAGTTGTAGACGTAGTTCAAGTTGGTATTAGTTTGGGAAGAGTTATATCACCCCATAGTTGTCAGGTTTTGTCCCCTAGTTTGTGTCCCTGCCCATTACCTTCACACTCTGTGGTTCCGCCACCCACAGTCGGCACGTGAATTTGAAGTCAAGTTATTTGCAGTGATAAGATTTTGTAATTTCGAGAAGGGCTTCTTCCCGGGATAGAAAGGGAAAGGGAAAACGGGTAAAAAGAAAGGTGAGGAAATGGGGAAAAAGAACAGAAAGGACAGCAAGGAGAAGGAAAAAAAAAAGTCACGGTCTGGCCAGTTTTATCCTTGAAACCACAATTAGCATGACAACATTATTAGGAAAGTTTAATGCCAGACTTGAAAGGTATTCTTTAAAACAAAATGTTGCTTTCTAAACCGCCTAGGGGGGGGTTAGGCAGTCAGATGTGAAAAGATATTGTTACCGGGATCTGTTCATGCCTCAGCTTTTTGGAAGTAGCAGGGACAGCAAGTATAAAGTAAGTAGGTAGTAAGCAGATCAGCAGATCAGCCCAGCACCTTAGTTAGTTTATTAGTAGCCAGGACAGTAAACCCAGGAGGAGAAAGAATCAGCTTTGGAGTAGAGAGAGCAGGAGTATTTTAAGAGTTTTTTTTTCTTTCGGCTTTTAGGAGCTCTTGTAAGTTAGTTAGAACTGAGGGAAACAACACCCTCTTTTGATTGAACTAAAAAGTCACATATATATGTTTTTGAAAAAAAAATTAGAATTATTTTTAGCCACCAAATAATCTTTGGTGCCAAGTTTTTTTTTATATTATGTCTTATAGTATCGTTTTCGTTTTAGTAGTCATATTATTATACACCATACACAAAAAGTAATATGAAGTTTAGATAATTTTTTGGTGACAAGGATTAATCATGAATAAAGAATACTTTTTTCTTTTAAACATGTGAGACAGTAGCATACAATTGTTTTGAAAATTATTTTAAAAATAATGTACTGATTGCGTATCAGAGCAATAAGAATGTCACTGATGCAAAGGCATGTATATTTCTTTTCAGTGGAAGTTATTTTTCTAGGTTGGTGTTAAGAGTGTATGGGATGTGAAAGAATATTGTGGACTGATGTTAAATTTTGACAGCCAACTGTTCTATATTTGTTAGCTATACTTTAAGCAGTAAATTAAACGGTTTTGTTTTTTTTTAAAAAAACTACTTACATTTCTGTAGTGATAGTCTTATGAAATGAAACTGCAAAGGAGAACAGTCTTAAAGGACTATAAATGCTATTCAGTGTGTTTAAGGAGAGCCGAATAGAGGTAGGTGAGAGAATACAACATTGGAGTATTGAAAGGAGAAACATAGTGCTGCAAAAAATTAGGTAGATCCTTTACCCAGTAAGGGTGTACTCTGCACACCCTTTATACTTTATCCATCAAGATGAGCAAAGATTTAGCCTTAGGTTTTAAAAATTTAGGGATTTCTAACATTTTTATTTGCATGTTATTTAATTATAAATAATATGATTAAAGCGAGGCCCTTTGTTTACAGGGAAAATAAAATGATGTCCTATTTTCATTTTGGTAGATTGATATAAATAAGAGATTTCATTTTTTCACTTAGGGGCTGCCTCAACTGCGACTTGTCTCTTGTGTTCCTAGGTCAACGGCATGCAGCTGTATGGAAAAAATCTCGCCGAGAAGCAGTCTTCCTTTCTAAGGAAGTGGCCACCCCTTTTAACTTTGGGTTGCTGTCGGAGTTGTTTGATGATGAAAGCTTCTGTAGATGAACCAGGCCCAATGAAACCTCTCTTCCTGAGACAGAGGTAATAAGTGAATATAGTTGTGGTTCCCATAGGCATGCCCATTCATCAAAGATGCCCCGAAGGCGGTACTGCAATATGAAGGGAGAGGAAACCTTCACTCTACTCTTTTTTTTGCTGACTAAGGCAACAATGCATAGCTTTTCAAATTGTTACTCTTCATTTAACATCCTAAAACTCTTTCCTTCCCTTTCCTTGCAATGTTGCCAACATTGATGTACCTGCATTTCTGATTTAAAGACCTTTGTTTTTTCACTAGTGCCTGATTCATTACTTTGAATCTAATTCACTCAGCATTGTTCTTATATAGATTTAAGGTGTCGGTAAGGGTTGTATATCTAATATATTTCCCTTTTTCAGAGCCTTAAAAATTTGAAACTCTACGATAAATTTCCAAGCGAGTCTGGAAATTGCCAGTAATCTCTTCAGAAGATAAGAGAATGAATAACATTTTATAAGCTCTTGGTACTTTGTTTT